CATTTCAAATAAGAGTAAGAATACTTATTACACAGCGTTTAATAGTTTAATCAGTATAATTCAAATATATATTCTATAGATAAGAAACGATTTCATCAGAATTTATACCTAGGAAATCAGGAACTTCATATTTCTCTAGTAATTTTTATTTGTTACAAACTTGATCCTCCTCTGCCAAGCCGCCTGAGAAACAAAGAATATTAATAAATAAATAAATAATGTAAAAGAAAATATAGCATTAGAGTAGAAGATGTAAAATAGGAATCGAGAACACATACATACCTGCCTTACCCCAACAAATTGGAAATATTAAGCTTTGGTGCACTTACTGGACATGGACTCAGTTTTTCCATCTTAGGGCAATTTTCAATGCGCAACTCCTCCAATAGAGGGAACTCAAGTTCATAGTTTTGAGAGCAAAACATTTGAATACTTGAAAGATTCTTGAGTAGCAGACAGTTTAAATTAGGGAACACAATTGTGTTTTTCATTCCTTCAACTATTTTAATCTCTGAAGTGCCTTCTTCTTCTTTTCCAATAATCTCTTCAATTGATCCACATTTTGAAACCTCTAGAACGTTCAGAGCCACAAGAGAATTGGCCATTGAAGGTGAGAATAGATACTTTAAGATACCACATCTTTTAACAACAATTGATGTCAAATTCTCGAACACACGAACTCCTTTAGGAACGGTCCCTATAATGTGCACTAAATTATCCAGAGATTTTAGCTTTAGCACACTCAGTCGACCAAATACACTTTCAGCATGATCTTCTGGAATCGTTGGACATTCAAAGTCAAACAGCACTTCCAGTGCTTTACATTTTTCTACTCTAAGTATTTCAAGATTTTGTAATGATTTACTCGTAACCTGTGAAATTCACTTAATGGTGTAAGTCATGACACTAACATCATAATTCTTTTTCTCGTATATAATTATTAATACTTTTCCACGCTACTTCTTCTTAGAGTCAAATATTTATACGAAATGACAGTCAAATATTTTTGTTATGATGTTGATAAATTATTCGCTACAAAAGAATTGGAGAAGTTTTCTTAGTTTGTCTTATTCTTCGATTTGCATACACGTACTTGGAAACAAATATGGCCAGACGCACACTGAGAAAAGGAAAGATACATACCTGATGAATGCCATCATTGTTTGTTTCAGATCTGAATTTCTTAAAACTGCTTAAATCGCGAAGCTCAATTGTGTCTAGTTTTGGGAACTCAGGCATATCGATAACTTCATTTTGTTCTGCATCCATTGAAACAACTTGTGTGAAGTGATGGAGGTTTGATGGAGTGTTTGCATCAATGACAATGTTTCTTTTCTCTGAAGTGTTTTCCTCTTTTTCATCTTCTTCTCTTCCAATGATTTCTTCCAATGCTTTGCAACTTCTAATTGATAAAACTTCTAGTGCCACAAGTGAAAATAAGTATCTTAAGCTCTCACAATTTCTAACATTAAGATATGTCAAATTTTGGAAGACAGGAATTCCTTTTGGAGCCATCTTTATAATGTGCTCCAATTTTGGTACTGAGTTCAGCGACAATGATGTTAATTGACCAAGCATATTAATTTCTGCATCATCTCCAAAGTCAAACAGTACTTCAAGTGCATCACATGCACACACACTAAGATAACCAAGATTTTGCAGTAACTGAATTGAATCAAATTCTGCAATGGTCAGCAATTTATCACAACTCGACACGCTCATGTATTTTAGTTTATGCAAAGATGTTATTGGCATTTCCTTGCCTAGTAGCTTTACTATACAATTCAACCCTTCAACATCCAACGACTCCATGTTGGGAAAGTTGACCTGCGAAGTTCAATTGAACTAGTTTATATCCATTATGCTATCTATATAAATGAATTGTAGAAAGCGCCAAAAAATAGAAATAAATCCGAATTTTCCTTTCATTATTACCTAATTTAATCTCGTAATTTTAGCTCCAAAATTTACGTGCATCTTTTTATTTCTAAGTTTATATGGTTAATGATTGGAAAATCACCGAGATTTCCTATTCAAGACCACAGTTCTACAAGACGTTTTTGGAATTTGTATGTAGTTGATTGGAATCATGAAAAGCTATAATTATTAAATTAAAATAAAAGACAATCTATAAGTTAATTTTGTGCAACAATCGTACCGATTCTCCTAAACTTAGCCCCTATTTAGTTAAACTACAAAAGTTGATTAAAATTTAAATCAAATTCAGTAATTAATTTTAACTACATTCCTACCCATTTCATTAACTTTTATCAAAATTTACCCATGTTTGGTACAACTAAAATCTTGATTTTGATTTTAATCTCTACCAAACATGGTCATAAACTTTTATTGTAAACCAAACAAGGGCTTAGGTTTTGTTAAAGGGCTCACTTTGATTAATAATATTTGTAATCATAAAATTCATTGATTTGTACTAAATGACTACTCTAATATTTTTGCTCCACTGTTTATGATTTGTTCATTTGGAACACATTTTCGAGTATATCTGATTTCCGAAATTTCTTCAGATTTGATGCAGACGAACTAAACACTCTTTATAACAAATAAGGACTCTTGGATGCACATAAAAGGAAAGTTGAATACCATACCTGGTTGAAGCATGTTTGAGGAACAACATCGCTATTTGATTGAGATGTGATGCTCTTAAATCTAGGCAAAAATTTCAATTTGACTTTATTCAGTTTTGGAAACTCAAGCATTTTGCAAGTTTCGGTAACTTCATTTTCTCGTGCGTCCGTTGAAATAACTTCCTCTAACATTTGACAGTCAAATATGAATAGCCTTTGGAGATTTAGCAAGCTGTTTGCAACTGACTCCCGAAACAAGCTTCTAATTGTCTCACAATTATTCATCTCAACGCTCACAAGGTTACAGAACAATTGAGGTTTGATGACACCCCTTGGAAGATTTTCATTGCATATCTCTATTAACTTGGGTAAATTATCCAATTCGAGAGACTCCAATTTA